TACAAATAGTGTAAAATCTGTTTACATTTGTGTTATAATTAAAATCAAACTCATTTAATAATATTTTAATATAATAATAATTTGACAAACAATTCAATGAAAAGAAATAATAATGAAATATAAGAAATATAAAAAATAATAAGAAATTATGTTGTCTTACAGAATGTGTATATTGTTTGCAAGTATACAATGGAAATAAAAGTTAATATTAATATTTAAATTTTACAAAAAGTGAAAACAGGTATAAAAATTAAATAAATCTCTAATTTATCGACGATTCTTTGATAAGAAAGTCCATTAAATATCAGACTTTGTATTACTCTTTACTTTCAGATCCGTCGGTCTGTTGTCATCCATTGTTGAAGAGATGACTGGACTTATGGCCGAAGTCTTGGCAATGGATTTGAAGTCCGAAGGGATAGACATTTGAGGCTCTGATTTGGATCTTTGATAGACTTGTGGTTCAGATTCCGATTCTTTGATTGCATTCATCGAAACGGATGTATTGTTTTTGCTATTGATCTGAGATTTGGTCGATCTCTCGGTCTTTTGTGTCCACACTTTTGAGATCACAATCACTGCTAAAACCAACAAAAGTATAACAATTGTTACCACAATCGACACAATTATCGCTGTTTTGTATGAATTAACAGGTATTGGATCCGATTTGAAACAATGCTCTGCGAATGCAATCATTTGGTTCGGATGTTTGCACTGAAATATATAAACATTTATTTATATTATTACTTAAGTTAAAAATCTATTTTAATTATTTGAGAAATCATTAAATAAAGACAATACTTCTTCAGACAAGGATTGGTTGTTATCTGTGAAGCAATACCGGGGCTGACCCGAGATGTTATACCACAGCATATACACGTTTATCGACACTCCGATTAACGCGAAATCAACGATACCCTCGAGTTGTTTGAGTAAGTGATCGGGTATTTGGTTCACAAATCGTGATCTTCGGCAGAGAACCGGTTGATCGCAATCGCATTCATCGGTAATCTTCACACCTCCCGGTCTACTAGTGCTGAACGGATCGGTTTGGCCGACAACGGCTTCTGCGCCCACATCTGCGGCACTCAACACCTGAACCGACCGGTCGTTTGTATTCAACGCAATCACGTATTTATTGTAGTGATTTGGTGGTCTAAATATCACCGTTTTTGGGTTGTATTGAGTCTCATAATCCGTATAGAATTTTCCGCGTACTGTGTGTTGTGTACGTTTATTATCAATGTAACCTTTATGTTGATAATGACATCGGGTGAATACGGATGTGGTTTGTGGTCCCTGTTATTAATGAACAATTACTTTAAACTCAAACACTATTCAATCGGGTCGGTGACATTTGTTTGAAACAAATAACCTTTTATAAAACCTTTTCATACCTAAACAAACTTATATTAACATAAGTTATATTAACTTAATTTCAATCTTAAACTTAATCTAATATTAACTAAATTTTATTAATAATGTTATTTATAATTCTATTAATTTAATGTATTTAAAGAAAATTAAATAAATAACTTGTTAGCAAATGTCTGCTTCCCATTTATACCCTATAAAATGTAGAACATGTATGAAATGACGTATCATGTTCGGATGTTATGAAGCTATTGATAAAAGTAATATTCTTTACATTCGTCACACTCGTTGATACATTCAATGATTTTGATTCATAATGAATTTCCCATTCCATACCATTTGAATACATATACTGTCGTGTATAAAGTCCGAAAATACCATACAGTTTAATACCATTATATCGACCATTAGTTGCAATCAAATCACAGATATTATAGTTATTACAATCAATGGTAGATATAAGACAAATAATAATAATCAAAATTGATGTCATTTTCTGGCGATAACTGTTTAACACATAAACTTAAATTTTATTTGTAATGAAAATGATGTGATTTTAAATGTCAACTGAATTAACGGTTAATAAAATGTAAAAAATATTTCAAATCAAACAATTTCAAACATTTTAAACATATATTTAAGAAAAATATTGTTGTAAATGAGAGAAAAAGTTAGATATTATATTTGTATCAAAATAAATAAAATAACAAATATCTCATTAGCAATAACGAACACAAAATAAGTAATTTTATAAAGATTTATATATAATAAAGGTTTTGCATTAATTATACACTTCTTTGATTTGTTATTAATTTGATCAAACATTTGATATCTTAAGTGATACTCAAATACTTGTAATCTTCATATCTGTGGATCTGTTCTCATTCCTCAACATCGATGTCGACGATTCAGTTGACAATCACTTCAACCACTTGTCAACACATTTATTATCCAAAGAGTATGTCATTGTTTGAAATCTATGGCCGACTTCTTCCTGAGTTTTCTTATTTTCAAATTTGAAATACCGTTTGAATACAAATACTGCTATTATAACAGCAATTAAAACAACAAAATGTGGGCAAATATCAATTCAAAAATCATTCTGAAACTTATTGTTTACATTGAATTGTGGCGTGAATTGAGTGTATAATGCATTAAATAAAATAAGTATTGTTTAAATTTAGTTAACATTTATTTGAATTTAATGTGACAACAAATCCTGCCCTCAAAACAAGTGATTATTTATAACTTCTATTCAGTTGTCATTGAATTCAATGCAAATATAAAATGGATGTTAATTTGAGATTAATTGTGGTTTTAATACAAGTGATGTTTGCAGTGAACGCAACGGTCAGTCATTTAAAACATTTTTTTAAAATTTCAATTCATGTTTTATTAAATATTTAATCACAGAATCCATTGTGTGATCTAAAGACAAGAATTGATTCGGCATTTGTAGACAAATACTCTGCTTTGGGATCAGATGTGATCACTTTGTTTGCAGACAACACTGTCTATCAATTGACTGTCAATACAACGGATCCCATAAATCCTGTCTTCGTATACAACAGATCCCAACCATTGAAAATGTGGTCAAACTATGGATCAATTTCTCCACCCATTCATTTAGTGTATTATTCTTTTATCGACGTATCTATGATTGAATTACTAAACGTAAGTTTGTATTAAATTAAATGTTTAATATCTTAAGAATAAAAACTTAAAAATCTATTTAAAACAGAAACAAATGCCAAAACGATGGTATTTGGGAGCAGTTAATAAGACTATTATATTCAGTGATACAAATATTAGTGATGAGGAGAAACACATTATTGTTATTTTGCAAAAACAAGTCAAACAACCACTTCATTGGCGCACAACATGGATGGCTCACTATAACCACACGTTTGTTATGAATTCAGATTATATGGTAAACGGGAGTCTAAAGTGGTCGGAGGATTGGATGGATTTGATTCGTATACTTAATACAGACAATGATAATCATCTGACAATTGATGGGATCCGCAGATATTTGTCACAAACGACGGCCGGCTTTGCATTCAATGACTATTTCTATTTGTTTGCCGGCAATCGTGTCTGTCGTCTCAATAACAGGACTCTTCGGTTTGACGACAACTGTTTAACTCAAACCATCGCTCAATGGATTGGTTGCAAAGACACTAACAATTACTTCATTGTATTCATAGTTTTGATTGTCATTGCAATTATAATAGCAGTGATTATAGCATTCATTGTATGCAGAAATCGGCCAAAATCTCAACCAAGAGTTTACCAAAAATATAAAACAACTCAAAAGATCGACGATTTGAACATTGAATCCAACAATAAGTCAAAGATATCGGAGACAAAGTCGTTGACCGAAATGTCATCATTGGATGAAAACAGACCAATAGATCTCAAGATTACGACCACTGCTTCGGCGGCCGATAAGAAATCTGCGGCCAAACAAAGTCCCCAACAATTGAAGACTAAACTAAAAGCAAAACCATTATTATATAGAAAATAGTTTTTAAACGCATTTTATTATTTATATTTTTTTCATTTTTCTGACACTTTGTTATACTTTTTATTTATTTCCATTAATTTAACTTAAATTCAATAAATTTATAAGAGATTACTCTTTAGTATAAATGTTTTAATATTAATATAATTAATGAATAAAATAACAAATAAATTGTTTTATTTCTATTAAAATTTTTTAATCAATCAATCAATTCGTGGATTTGGTTTAATCTGTTCCGACGCTTCCAACCGATCCTTCATTGCTCTTAACCTTCAGATCCGTTGGTCTCTTGCCTTTCATCGAAGACAAAGACATCGATGCCTTCGAGTCTTCACTTTGCGATGCATTCAAAGACTTATTATCCGATTCTGTGTCCGAAGAGATGGTCACATAATCTCGAGGTTTTGGTTTGGTTTTGTATTTTTGGTATCCTTTGGGCGCAGATCTCGTCCAAAGTTTATACGTTATAAATGCTATAATCAGTGCAGTTATGACCACCAAAATGATCATAAAAATCAAAATCTTTATGTATTTACTATTCTCATTGTCTTTTGGCTTCACATCACATCCAATCCATTGAGCGATGGTTTGAGTCAAACAGTTGTCGTCAAACCTGAGAGTACTGTTATGCAGACGACAGACACGATTGCCGGCAAACAAATAGAAATAGTCATTGAATGCAAAGCCGGCCGTCGTTTGTGACAAATAACTCCGTATCTGATCGATGGTCAGATGATTATCACTTTTATCGTTCTTGAGTTTATCCATTGTATTATAAGACTCTACGGCATAACTATTGTTGCTTTTAACCCAATAAATGGTATCCATTGTGTAATCATTATTCAAATACAGTCTACTTTGAATCCTATCGTTTGTCTCAATTTTATCAAAATAAATGACCCAAACGTCACTTTTTGTGACCCAATCTTCTCTCTGAAATTTAAATGTCTTATTCTTTGACCACAATTGCCATTCATGCTGTAGTCTCCACTAAATTGATAACGTATTTAATGAATATACTGTGTATACAGTATAAAGTATTTATATAAAACTTACATTATATAATGTAATGAAATCTGCGGCTAAACTATAATACACTTCATTAATGGGACCCTTTAGGCGAACACTCGACCACTTGTTTAATGGTTGAGATCTGTTGTGTCTGAAGAATAGATTTATGGGATCCGTTGTATTTACAGTCAATTGATAGTAGTGTGACCAACCGTACACTTTTGAAGTGTACAGTACACTATTTGAGACTTCTGTACACTAATTTCAGACTGTACACTATTGTACACTTTTGGAAAATATTTTATTTGTTTCTGTTTTGATTATGCTATTAAGTGACTAATTATTTTATTTAATACAGACTTACGTTTAGCAATGCAATTATGGATCGGTTGATAAATTTGTAATACACAACATCGATGGGCGGAGATATGGATCCATAGTTTGACCACTCATTCAATGATTGGGATCTTTTGTATCTGAAGTTTGGATGAATTGGATCCGTTGTTTCGACAATCAATTGATAGGCAGTGGTGTTCGCAAACAAAGTGATGACATCTGATCCCAAATCTGAGTATTTGTCCACAAATGCCGAATCAATTGTAATGTTTGTGTTATTACACAACGGATTCTGTAATTAGACATTTAATGTAAATTATAAATGAATTAAATTTATGCATAAAATCACTGACCGTTGCATTAAATACAAACAACAGTTTCATTAAAATCACAAGAATTTGTAAAATCAAACCCATTTTCAATTAAAATACTTGAGTTGTTTTTATAACAAAATTTGTTCTCAAATTACAGTTAAATTCAAATAAATGTAAAATAATTTAAAACAACATTAATCATAATAATGTAATTTTTTAAATAAACATATTTTTAACATTAGATTAATTGAAATAATTATGTATTTAATCTCAAACTTCACATAACAATTAATATTGTTGTAAATTATAATAACTAAACTAAAAGTTCGTTTTGAAATCATTTCTGCAAATATTTGAATATAAACTCTAAACACAAATGCATTTCATTTTAACATTAATTGTGTTTTTAATACAACTGTTGGTTGTATTGAATGCGACGGTCAGTTATTTTATGCATAAACTTTTCAATTTGATTATTAATTCAATATTTAATATTTAATCCAAATTAAGTTATAAATTAGGGTCTTAGGTAACACATTATTGTGTTTGTATTCTTAACTAAGCCGTAAACACCTGTTTATGACACTAAACCCTAGTCTACAGTAGTGAAACAAACGCCTGTTGTGACAGAATCAATTGACTGTCAATACAACGGATCCCATAAATTCTTTCTTCAGATACAACAGATCTCAACCATTAAACAAGTGGTCGAGTGTTCGCCTAAAGGGTCCCATTAATGAAGTGTATTATAGTTTAGCCGCAGATTTCATTACATTATATAATGTAAGTTTTATATAAATACGTTATACTGTATACACAGTATATTCATTAAATACGTTATCAATTTAGTGGAGACTACAGCATGAATGGCAATTGTGGTCAAAGAATAAGACATTTAAATTTCAGAGAGAAGATTGGGTCACAAAGAGTGACGTTTGGGTTATTTATTTTGATAAAATTGAGACAAACGATAGGATTCAAAGTAGACTGTATTTGAATAATGATTACACAATGGATACCATTTATTGGGTTAAAGGCAACAATAGTTATGCCGTAGAGTCTTATAACACAATGGATAAACTCAAGAACGATAAAAGTGATAATCATCTCACCGTCGATCAGATCCGGAGTTATTTGTCACAAACGACGGCCGGCTTTGCATTCAATGATTATTTCTATTTGTTTGCCGGCAATCGTGTCTGTCGTATGGATAACACGACTCTCAGGTTTGACGACAACTGTTTGACACAAACCATCGCTCAATGGATTGGATGTGATGTGAAGCCAGAAGACAATGAGATTAGTAAATACACAATGATTTTGATATTAATGATCGTTTTTGTGGTCATAACTGCACTGATTATAGTATTTATAACGTATAAACTTTGGATGAGATCTGCGTCCAAAGGATACCAAAAATACAAAACTAAACCAAAACCTCGAGATTATGTGACCATCTCTTCGGACACAGAATCGGGTAATAAGTCTTTGAATGGATCGCAAAGTGAAGACCCGAAGGCATCGAAGTCTTTGTCGTCACTGAAAGACAAGAGACCAACGGATCTGAAGGTTAAGAGCAATGAAGGAT